TGTAACCAGTAAGTAACCCCGAAATAATACTTGTAACCAGTAAGTAACCTCAAAATAATACTTGTAACCAGTAAGTAACCTCAAAATAATACTTGTAACCAGTAAGTAACACCATAATAATACTTGTAACCAGTAAGTAACACCAAAATAATACTTGTAACCAGTAAGTAACCTCAAAATAATACTTGTAACCAGTAAGTAACCTCAAAATAATACTTGTAACCAGTAAGTAACCTCAAAATAATACTTGTAACCAAAACGAAACTAATAATACATACAAATTCGATGACGAGGAACCCACTTTGAGACTAATAGTGGCTGGAGACGGCTTAAATGGGTAATGAAGAAAAACTTTAATATAAGTTTAACATGATGATGGCGGCTTAAATGGGTAATGAAGAAAAACTTTAATATAAGTTTAACATGACAGCAAATGTACAACGTTTCGACAAGGTTTTGTTCTCCAGCCATTAAGAGACAAGACAGTTTTATAATAAATGTGTAGTTGCTTAGCAAAACCAAAACACATTTCATGTGTGTGTGTGTGTGTGCTTTTCTCCAAAGAGACAGACACACATGACATATTACAAGTTTATTCGTTTTGTTTTGGTTTTTAAATGTTCATTATGAAAATTTCTATTGAGATCAGCGATTATTTTACCAGCTATAGTTTTTCTCGATCTTCAGGAGTTTATAAAGTGTTGAATATACATCGGTGCCAAAAGAAATGATCTGTAAAATCTCGAAAGTAGAAACCTGACCTCATCTTTTTAATTAGAATTCCTAACACATATTAAGGTAAATTATTCTTAGAGGGTTCGATTTTATCTGAATACAGAATCGGTCAAGGAAAACGAGTAATAGTGAGATTTTTTATTTTTCGATCATGGGCTCTAACTATAAACCAACTTTTATGGCTTCTATAGTTTAGAAACTGACGCTCGTTAGTGGAAAAGATTTCTTGTATAAAGCAGCTGAACAAGAATGTCTACAGGTCCTTTCCTAGTTACCAGTGAGCAGACATCACCTATAACTGATTTCTACCGTGGTCGAAGTCTCTTTATCACCGGCGGCAGCGGTTTCGTAGGAAAGGTGAGACTTTTAGGGAGAAGAAATGATGAAGACTTGACCTAGCAGCTCGAAACGCCCAAATCTTTAAAGCCGCCATTATTCATACTTCTTTGAGTTAATGTGTTTATCATTGTATCGTAGCTATCTCTTACAACAAACTCAAAATGCACGCACTTCATAGATTGCACCAAATTATGACATGTAACAAGTGTTGTTCTCATTTTTCTAAAATATGTTACATGGACGTAAAGAAAAGAACTCATACCGGAGTAGGTGTAAGACAATGTAGTAATCAAATCACTCCTGTTATCACAAGATAAGACAACTATCGCGATATTCTATTACGTACGTTTATTTGAAAAAACTTCTGTCAGTTCTATTATATTTTAGTACACTTTCTTTATTCTCAGACTAACAGATGTAGGTAAACCCCAATGAAAAACTTTGTGAAGTTGTATTAAAGAATACTAACAATCTCAAATAGTTGCTCTCAAAGTGTGTAACAAAATAAAAATCACGTGGTTTATTTAAAACACATAAATGATTAGATCTTACGTCAAAGATAAACTAATCATGTGATCAACATTTCTGGCCAAATCATAATCAACAAGTGGCATTCATATTTCCGTACTTTAACAGACCATCCTACTATACATTAACAGACCATCCTACTATACATTAACAGACCATCCTACTATACATTAACAGACCATCCT